CTCTCTCTCTCTCTCTCACTCACTCACTCATGCGCACGCTTAGTCCCATTGCTTTGGCTAACCTTAGGGCTGCTTTCCCCCGCCCACGCGGTAGACAATAATAATAATAATAACAGCACCGCACTCCATGGAGCCGCAAAAGGCTGAACTGGACCAACTAACCGGCAACAAACTGGAGGAGGAATTACATTTACAGTAATTCAACGTTCACAGCCACTCACACTCGATCAACACGCTGCTCTTCTGGTCCGTTGGATCAAGCGATCTTGATTCCGAGGCCTATACATTCGACAACTGTTAGCTCTGAGCACTGAGTAACAATGCTCTGGAGTAGTCTATGCCTACCGTCTCCCCCGAACACAACGCACCCTCATTTTGTCTGTACCTGACCTGAAACATAGCGTGTATCGTATGTATACAATCATGAGAGTGGATCGTATGTATACAATCATGATTAGGGTGCGTTATGTTCGGGGGAATACCGTAGCCGCCACGTCGCACGAGCAAACAGAGCGGTGGTGACCTGGCGAGGAAACTTCTGCAACCAAAAATATTCACTTCTGAGCGAGACTCAGAAAGGCTGAGTAGACAATGTGATATGCATGGACGTCTTACTGACGATGTTACTGACGATGTGATTCAAGGGCCTCGGCCGGACGCGACTGGCACCGTGGCACCACCTACTGCGTGGCTGGAGCATGTGTGCACGACAACGCATCAAATGACCAACTCCATAGCGGCCTGCACTGCATGCATGCCGCTATGGAAGACCGAAAAAATATTATTGTCAAGTTTCCTTTATTGTACATAATAACATATTCGACAGACCCCTTTGGGCATTGACTTTGACGTTTCCGGCCGCAATTTCGGCGTTTTCTGAACGGAATTCGTCAGGGCTTACCGGGTTCCCAGGTGTAGGCCCGACGAGTTCGGTTCAGAAACGCCGAAATTGCGGCCAGGTACGCCAAATCTAAATCCCCAAATGTGTATTAATGATTGCGAACTTCTGTGAGTGGAGAGAGAGAGAGAGTCAATGACTGCGCCACAGAAACGAATGGAAAATAAGTAGAGCATGCTATGTCTACAATCACAAGAAACGGTGACTTACCATCCACCATCCCAAGAATAGAAGAAAGACAGCACGCACTACGGCCGCCTCTCTCTTGGGATTTCATGGAACAGATCCTCCTCTTGACCGGCCGAACCGGCATGTTGACCGATCATCCCACGCGTGAGGACAAGTTATGCCACATGACGTCACGCAATGCCGCCTCTCGTACGTCCACCTGTCACCCATATGAAAGAGGTCGTTCGAACGATGTGATTGATAACCTCGAGATAGGCCGCTATCGGCCCTCTTCCGTCTGCATGGAAAAGCCAATCCGGACCAAACACCAATCTGTCCATTGATTAGCTGATCGGCAACCTCCGAGCTCGAGCGGAGAGAGTAGCGAACTTGAGAACCAGGCGAATCAATCACTCGCTTTGACCGACTACCTTCTCCACGAAGTCAGTATTAATCAATCAACGCCTCGACTACCTCCATTCTTGATCAGCTGATCGGCAACAGATAACTCCCCCGTATGCGTGTCGGTTTGACCGTCTGTCCAGGAACCGACTCGAGTCTATCATGGTCAAACTTATTTATTGTTGACATTATCATGCAACTAACAATAACGAACTGCTACCTATTTCAATACCTCCCTTACAAAATAATCTGGCACAAAGAGATATCACTGAGTCGCAACTGATTTCATTGGTGTATCAAGTAGGACGGAGTATAACACACACACACACACACACACACACACACACACACACACACACACAAAAAGAGAGAGAGAGAGAGAGAGAGAGAGAGAGAGAGAGAGAGAGAGAGAGAGAGAGAGAGAGAGAGAGGTGACATGCTGCTTCATGGGAAGAGAGAATTGATGAGAGTTTCGATCAGAGGAGATTCCTAGACCTTGAGAAGTCTTTGACCACGACTATTATAGTTATTTTTTTGCACAAATCAGTTTGTAACGATAAAGTAATCTGTGATGGAGATGAGTGGAACGTCTAATGTGGAGGTGATAACAGAGCAACAAGGGGAGGCAATGACGGCGAACGGCTTAGTACCGTCAACGACGCCGTCATTAGAGTTCCCCCCGCCGCCTCCTCCTCCATTTTCCCACCCGTGCAACCTCTCTCCGATCATTGCTTACACCCATCAAGCGGGCACGATTGATCAGTGTACCTCCGACTCAGAAGCTGGTGCTACTTATCCCTCATGTCACCAGCAACAACAGCAAGCGGAATTCCCCGCGCTTGCGCCAAGCGGAACGTTGTCATCAGCGGCGCCAGTCTCAGCCGCTTCCTCCCCATCGTGGACGCCCTCATCGGGTCCGTTTGCCACGTGTATGGTCGGCGTGGTCACCTCCTCCTATGCCAGCCACAATCCCTTGTCTCCCTCCCCGGCGTTTTCTCACATACGACCTCTCTTGCGCGGGTGCTACACGTCAGCTACTCGACCGATGATGTGTCCTCCACATCAGAGGGTCGGCGGAACGCAATTTCTCGACGGTTCATGGATCTTCAAAAGTTCTGGAAATCGTGTGACGACAACAGCTTTGACAGTGCCTGTGCACGGGGAATCGGAAGTTGGACCCCACCCACACTCCCTGCTAGTGAATCCCCAGAGCGGCGCTGGCAGCAGGAAGGCCACCAGGATGATACGGGGAAGAACAGATGCCATGCAGATACAGAAAGCTGCTCTCAAGACGGCAAAAATGCTAATCATCAACGAAGAAAACTCCCACCAGCGAAAGCGATTGGCAGAGGGGAAGGACGACGCGGGGGTCGACCTCAAGTCTAGACGCCCTGGCGACGCGTATGAGCAGCAGCGTACGGAGGAAGACGAGGACGATGAAGAGGAAGACGATGAGGATGAGGAGGGGGAGGAGGAGGTTGGAGATGAGGGGGAGGAGGAAGAGGATGAGCAGCAGGGAGATGAATGTTCGATGGGTGAAGATGACATGGACGCTGACGAAGACGGAGGGGACGACAAGGAGGAGGAGGAAGAAGAAATAGATGTGGAGGAAACAGAAACAGGGGAAGAGGAGGAAGAACAAGACGAGGAGGAGGAGGAGGAGGAGGAGGAGGAGGAGCAGGAAGAGGATGGGGAGGAGAAAAGGGAGGGAGAGGAGAACGCGAAGTACAAGATGACGGTGGATACAACTAAGATAGGAGTCAACGCTAGAACCCCTACTCTTGCCAACCGCAGCGGGATGACACCACCACACCCGGAAGGCCATAACCCGAAGAGGAGGAAGAAGAAGCGACGACGGACTGCAGATAACAACATGATGATAATGATGACAGGCCCAACTCCCATCACCGGAAGGCAGCAAGTGCCTTCTTCGCCGTCCTGGCCACGCTGCCGCCGCCCCCGGGCGGAGGCGAGACGGCAGAAGGCTACGACGACGAGAACGAGAGATAACTTCGGATGGACGGCCGGAATCGTCAGATCCCTTCTAAGATTGCGCAAGGAGGTGCGAGAGGACCTCGGCATTGATTACGGTCACCACCCCTCCAACGTCTCTGTCTGGAAGGATATCGCTGTCCGCATGTACCAGAAACATCCGGAGACGGCACGACTAGACGCCATGCAGTTCAAGAACAAGTTCAACAACCTCAGATCCACATGCGCGGTAATCTCTCTCTCTCCCCCGCCCCCTCCCCCTCCCGTCCCCCTCCTC